TAAGGAGATAGGGGGGACATGGAGGATACGGGGTGAGGGGGGAGGAGGGATAGGGAGGGTATGGGATGAAGGGGGAGGGGGGACAGGGGGAAAAAGGTGGGAGGGGGGACATGATGGGAATGGGGAAGGGGTGTCAAGGTCAGAATGGGGTGGGGGGGGGGAGGGAGGGTTGGGTGGGGGCAGGTAGGGTGAGGGGAAGGGAGGGTTTCTATGCAGAGGGGGGGTGGTGGTGTTGCCCCCCCCCTCTAGTGTGTGTGTGTACTCACCTATATGTACTCACCTATATGTGCTTGCAGGATCGAGCATTGACTCTTGGATCCCGCCTTTCTAGCTATCGGTTGTTTACAGCAATGACTCCTGTCCCATTTCCCTATCATACCTAGTTTTAAAAGTATGAATAGTATTTGCTTCCACAACCTGTTCCCCAAGTGCATTCCATTTTTCTACTACTCTCACGCTAAAAGAAAACTTCCTAACATCTCTGTGACTCATCTGAGTTTCCAGTTTCCACCCATGTCCCCTCGTTCTGTTATTATTACGTGTGAACATTTCATCTATTTCCACTTTATCAATTCCCCTGAGTATTTTATATGTCCCTATCATATCTCCTCTCTCCCTTCTTTTCTCTAGTGTCGTAAGGTTCAGTTCCTTCAGCCGCTTCATATTCCATCCCTCGTAACTCTGGGAGAAGCTTCGTCGCAAACCTCTAAACCTTCTTCAGTTTCTTTATGTGTTTCTTCAGGTGTTAACTCCATGATGGCGCGGCATACTCTAAGACTGGTCTCACGTAGGCAGTGTAAAGCGCCCTAAAAGCCTCCTCACTTAGGTTTCCGAATGAAGTTCTAATTTTCGCCAGAGTAAAGTACGCTGCTGTCGTTTTCCTATTTATATGTTCCTCGGGAGTTAGATTAGGTGTCACATCCACTCCCAGGTCTCTTTCTCGAATCGTTACAGGTAGGCAGTTCCCCTTCATTGTATATTGTCCCTTTGGTCGCCTATCACCTGATCCCATTTCCATAACTTTACATTTACTCATGTTGAGCTCCAGTAGCCATTTCCCTGACCATCTCTGCAACCGGTTTAAGTCCTCTTGGAGGATCCTACAATCCTCATCTGTCACAACTCTTCTCATTAATTTTGCGTCATCCACAAACATTGACATCTAGGATTCCACTCCTGTAAACATATCATTCACGTAAATTAGATAGAGGATTGGTCCCAGCACCGATCCTTGAGGTACTCCACTCGTTTCTGTTCGCCAGTCCGACTTCTCGCCCCTTACCATTACCCTTTGACTCCTTCCTGTTAGGTAGTTCTTCACCCATGCTAGGGCCTTTCCGCTTACTCCTGCCTGCCTCTTAAGTTTGTATAGCAGTCTCATGTGCGGTACTGTATCAAAGGCCTTTTGGCAGTCAAGAAATATGCAGTCTGCCCAGCCTTCCCTGTCCTGCCTTATCCTTGATACTTTATCATAGAATTGTAAAAGGTTTCTTAGGCATGATTTTCCTCTCCAGAACCCATGTTGGTGCTTGTTTACAAACCCAATGCTCTCCAGGTGTTAGCCTAATTATTCTTTCAAGTATTTTGCAGGGGATGCTTGTCAGTGATATGGGTCTGAAGTTAGGTGCCTCCTCCCTATCGCCTTTCTTGAAAATCGGTACGACATTTGCCTCCTTCCAGCAACTGGGCAATTCTCCCGACATAGGTGACTCATTAAAGATCATTGCCAGAGACACGCTGAGGGCCTGCGCTGCCTCCTTTAGTATCCACGGTGATACTTTGTCTGGTCCAACCGCTTTTGGTGCATCCAGTGTTGTCAACTGTTTCATTACCTCCTCTGCTGTCACTCCTATATCTGATAGTCTTTCATCTAGGGTCTTCTTAGGTTTATCTAGCTCTTCTAACAATGGGAACTGCTCAGGCTCGGTTGTGAACACCCCATGGAAACTTGCATTCAGTACCTCACAGATTTCCTTGTCGCTTTCTGTATATGCCCCTTCTGTTTTCCTCAGTCTTGTCACTTGATCAATTACCGACATCTTCCTTCTTATTTGGCTGTGTAGTAATTTAGGTTGCTTTTTCGCTTTGACTGCAATATCATTCTCATAATTTCTTTCTGACACTCGTCTTATGTTAATGTAATCGTTCCTAGCTCTGTTGCATCTAATCCTGTTGTCCTCTGTCTGTACTTCCTCCACTCCCGCCTGCTGGCCATTTTTGCTTCGTGACACTGTCTATTAAACCATGGGTTATTATATTCCCTCCTGCTTTTTTCCTTTACTGTTGGAATAAATCTCTCTTCCGCCTCCTTGAATTTCTATATGACTTGGTTCTTCATATCTTGCACTGTTATTCCTCTAATTTCTTTCTCCCACTGCACTTCTCTCAGGTAGTCCCTTATCCTTCTGTAGTCCCCTTTTCTGTAATCAAGTCTCCTTTCCCGGACCTCTTGTCCTTTGGTCACAATTTTAAGCTCCATCATGTAGTCAAAGACTAGGACACAATGGTCACTAGCTCCTAGTGGTATTTCATGTTCCAACTGCTCGATGTCTTCTGCATTCTGGGTGAAAATGAGAACTAATAGGCTGGGCATATCCCCTCCTCTTTCCCTAGTATCTTCTTTCACATGCTGTGTTAGGAAATTCCTGTCAATAACGTCTACCAGCTTCGCTCCCCAGGTCTCCTCCCCGCCATGGGGATTCCTCGTTTCCCAATCTATCTCTCCGTGATTTAGGTCCCCCATGACCAGCAGCTTCGCTCTCATTCTATGCGCTAAAGTTGCTGCCCTCTGCAGTTCATCTATACATGTCTTGTTACTGTCCTCGTACTCCTGCCTGGGCCTTCTACTGTTTGGTGGGGGATTGTAGAGTATCAAGATTACAATCTTCTTCCAATCCACTGTCAGAGTTCCATGTATGAAGCTCGTGCTTTCATTGGTACCCGGATTTTCCAGCTCATCAAACTTCCATTTCCGCTTTATTAGTAGTGCCACTCCTCCTCCCTGTCTCTGTGTCCTTTCTTTTCTTATCACCTGGTACCCCTCTGGAAAGATTGCATCCGAGATCATGCCATTTATTTTAGTTTCCACTATTGCCACTATGTCTGGGTCTGCCTCACTAACTCTTTCTTTTATCTCTTCTGCTTTATTGGCTACCCCATCAGCATTGGTGTACGAAACCTTGAGACTCTTCTTGGAAACTCGGGTGTCAGAGTTCCCTCTTTCACCAGGGGTCTGGGGGCAAGTGGGGGCTGTGGGGGTGAGTGGCGGGGTGCTAGGGGGGTGCCTGGGAGTGCCTGGTAGGCGAATGGGGTCTGGGCATCTAGGGGGGTAGGAAGGGCATAATGGGTCTGAAAGTTAGGGGTCTGAATAGCATAGGGGGGTTAAGAAATAGAGTAAGACTGAGAGTCAGATAGAGGTTGAGAGGTTGGGGGGGAGAGGGATACTGAGGGCAGAGGGCTGAGATGAGAATGGAGCATGGGTGCTGGGAGTGGAAGAGAGGGGAGGCTGAGGCAGGGGGGAGGTATAGGAGGGCTGAGTTCGGGAGGATGCGACCTGGGAGGTGACCTGGGAGGTGGCCTGGGAGGTGACCTGTGTGTGACCTGTGAGTGTGTACTCACCTAAGAGGTGCTAGTGCGGTGTCGTTGTTGCCAGCTATTCTTGTGGGCTCTTTGGTCATCTTTCGTCCTCTCTATAAACACATTGTAATGGGTTTCACTTCCTCTGAGTAAATGCTTGTTCCTCATTATGTACTCCACAGCCTCCTCATTGGAGAATTGCACCAGAACAGGTCTATTCTTGGTACAATTGTAAGGTCCAACCCGGCGGCTGATATCCACCTCGTGTTCTGCCATTCCTGCTCCAATACATCTCAATATCTCGTGCAATTCGTATTTTTTTCGTTTCTATTCTCTCTTGTCTTGTTGGTGCCCCAGATTCGAATAATCCATGTATTATAATAGACCGTCTCCTCAGTAATTCATTGTCAAGCTGGTAGCCTGTCCCCTGGGGATTCTCCATCCCAACCGCAGTCACTAACCCATCCTCCACTAATCCTCTGTCCTTAGCCATGCTGTTAATCCTTCCTAATTCGTTTGTGATACGAGCACATTCCCTCTCCCAGTCCTCTCTTCCCTTCCTAATCTCTTCCTGAATATAGAGCATAAGTTCTTGTTTCTGCTTCTCTACCGCATCCTGTATTTGCTGAAATAACTCACTTTTAATCCCTTGAATTAGATCCTCCATCCAATCGCTCCTTCTCTCTACAAATTTCCCTATTAATTTGTCTACAAATCTGTCCTCCTCCTCATCCCTGCTGGTGATTGACCTTGAACCCCTTCTAGTCATTGCAGTAACAATCTAGTGTGTGTGTGTGTGTGTGTGTGTGTGTGTGTGTGTGTGTGTGTGTGTGTGTGTGTGTGTGTGTGTGTGTGTGTGTGTGTGTGTGTGTGTGTGTGTGTGTGAGTATGCGCGCATGACTGAGTGACAGCATATTCACATGTCAAATAACAACATGGACACTTTAGTTGCAACTGTAGCTAGTAGATTATCCCAATAATATGCTCGCTCCAAACGCATTAGCCTAATGAGAGACGCAAAGCTCTTCTTAGTACTAATTATGGAACTTCCCTATTTCCAGTTAATATTCCAGTTAATATTCCTGTCACCCTTTGGAGAATGATGAGGTGTTGCCCGAGCATATAAGCAGCAGAGTAGCGAATAATAACTAGTCCACTTTCAAGTGTGGTCTAGAACAGACACTTGCGAGATACTGTACCGACGCTCAGTGCGCTCCTCGCACACCATTGCTCACCAAAGTATCACCTGCGTACTTCTCTATACTCGACAAAATATATATATATTCTCTTAGTGTTTGTGTTTATTGTCGCCATACTTTACGTTACAATAGAACCGTTACATTGGTCACTCCGGGGTCACCAATGTAACGGTTCTATTCACAACAAATATTTGCATTCAATGACTGCGACAATACTAGACACACCTGAGCAACAGCGGCCAGCTCCTCATTCCAGCGCAGGACGGCCATGTTGGCGGCTTGTGGCTGTGGACCAGGATCTCCCCGGAGCTCCTCTCCTCTCGCTACCTGTAGGAGGACAAGTGTGAGTCGTGTGGTAGTGTGCTCCTCTGGCAGTGTGCTCCTCTGGCAGTGTGCTCCACTGGCAGTGTGCTCCACTGGCAGTGTGCTCCTCTGGCAGTGTGCTCCACTGGCAGTGTGCTCCTCTGGCAGTGTGCTCCACTGGCAGTGTGCTCCTCTGGCAGTGTGCTCCACTGGCAGTGTGCTCCACTGGCAGTGTGCTCCACTGGCAGTGTGCTCCTCTGGCAGTGTGCTCCACTGGCAGTGTGCTCCTGGCAGTGTGCTGGCAGTGTCCTCTGGCAGTGTGCCCACTGGCTGTGCTCCTCTGGCAGTGTGCTCCAGTGTGCTCCTCTGGCAGTGTGCTCCACTGGCAGTGTGCTCCACTGGCAGTGTGCTCCACTGGCAGTGTGCTCCTCTGGCAGTGTGCTCCACTGGCAGTGTGCTCCACTGGCAGTGTGCTCCACTGGCAGTGTGCTCCACTGGCAGTGTGCTCCTCTGGCAGTGTGCTCCACTGGCAGTGTGCTCCACTGGCAGTGTGCTCCTCTGGCAGTGTGCTCCTCTGGCAGTGTGCTCCACTGGCAGTGTGCTCCACTGGCAGTGTGCTCCTCTGGCAGTGTGCTCCACTGGCAGTGTGCTCCTCTGGCAGTGTGCTCCACTGGCAGTGTGCTCCACTGGCAGTGTGCTCCACTGGCAGTGTGCTCCTCTGGCAGTGTGCTCCACTGGCAGTGTGCTCCACTGGCAGTGTGCTCCTCTGGCAGTGTGCTCCACTGGCAGTGTGCTCCACTGGCAGTGTGCTCCACTGACAGTGTGCTCCATTGGCAGTGTGCTCCACTGGCAGTGTGCTCCACTGGCAGTGTGCTCCTCTGGCAGTGTGTGCTCCACTGGCAGTGTGCTCCACTGGCAGTGTGCTCCTCTGGCAGTGTGTGCTCCACTGGCAGTGTGCTCCACTGGCAGTGTGCTCCACTGGCAGTGTGCTCCACTGGCAGTGTGTGCTCCTCTGGCAGTGTGTGCTCCACTGGCAGTGTGCTCCACTGGCAGTGTGCTCCACTGGCAGTGTGCTCCACTGGCAGTGTGCTCCACTGGCAGTGTGCTCCACTGGCAGTGTGCTCCACTGGCAGTGTGCTCCACTGACAGTGTGCTCCACTGACAGTGTGCTCCACTGACAGTGTGCTCCACTGGCAGTGTGCTCCACTGGCAGTGTGCTCCACTGGCAGTGTGCTCCACTGGCAGTGTGTGCTCCTCTGGCAGTGTGTGCTCCACTGGCAGTGTGCTCCACTGGCAGTGTGCTCCACTGCAGTGTGCTCCACTGACAGTGTGCTCCACTGGCAGTGTGCTCCTCTGGCAGTGTGCTCCACTGGCAGTGTGCTCCACTGACAGTGTGCTCCACTGGCAGTGTGCTCCTCTGGCAGTGTGCTCCACTGACAGTGTGCTCCACTGGCAGTGTGCTCCACTGGCAGTGTGCTCCTCTGGTAGTGTGCTCCACTGGCAGTGTGCTCCTCTGGTAGTGTGCTCCACTGGCAGTGTGCTCCACTGGTAGTGTGCTCCACTGGCAGTGTGCTCCTCTGGTAGTGTGCTCCACTGGCAGTGTGTTCCAATGGCGTTCATCACACACTTGATCTCAGGACACGCACACTCAGAGTCGCCCCACTACCAGACTGCTCATATCAGTACATATGTACAGTCTACAGTCTGGTTACATCATGACGTATTGCAAGTCATGATCACACCAGAGCATCATCTGCCTTGTGTGAAGACTTTTCACAGAACTTACCTGAGGCTGTTGTGTACCAATAGTCACGGAACTAACCTGCGTCCTGAGGCTGTTGTGTACCCTTATTGTCACGGAACTAACCTGCGTCCTGAGGCTGTTGTGTACCCTTATTGTCACGGAACTAACCTGCGTCCTGAGGCTGTTGTGTACCATTATTGTCACGGAACTAACCTGCGTCCTGAGGCTGTTGTGTACCCTTATTGTCACGGAACTAACCTGCGTCCTGAGGCTGTTGTGTACCATTATTGTCACGGAACTAACCTGCGTCCTGAGGCTGTTGTGTACCCTTATTGTCACGGAACTAACCTGCGTCCTGAGGCTGTTGTGTACCATTATTGTCACGGAACTAACCTGCGTCCTGAGGCTGTTGTGTACCCTTATTGTCACGGAACTAACCTGCGTCCTGAGGCTGTTGTGTACCATTATTGTCACGGAACTAACCTGCGTCCTGAGGCTGTTGTGTACCCTTATTGTCACGGAACTAACCTGCGTCCTGAGGCTGTTGTGTACCATTATTGTCACGGAACTAACCTGCGTCCTGAGGCTGTTGTGTACCATTATTGTCACGGAACTAACCTGCGTCCTGAGGCTGTTGTGTACCATTATTGTCACGGAACTAACCTGCGTCCTGAGGCTGTTGTGTACCATTATTGTCACGGAACTAACCTGCGTCCTGAGGCTGTTGTGTACCATTATTGTCACGGAACTAACCTGCGTCCTGAGGCTGTTGTGTACCCTTATTGTCACGGAACTAACCTGCGTCCTGAGGCTGTTGTGTACCCTTATTGTCACGGAACTAACCTGCGTCCTGAGGCTGTTGTGTACCCTTATTGTCACGGAACTAACCTGCGTCCTGAGTCACGGAACTGTTGTGTTGTACCCTTATTGTCACGGAACTAACCTGCGTCCTGAGGCTGTTGTGTACCCTTATTGTCACGGAACTAACCTGCGTCCTGAGGCTGTTGTGTACCCTTATTGTCACGGAACTAACCTGCGTCCTGAGGCTGTTGTGTACCATTATTGTCACGGAACTAACCTGCGTCCTGAGGCTGTTGTGTACCCTTATTGTCACGGAACTAACCTGCGTCCTGAGGCTGTTGTGTACCATTATTGTCACGGAACTAACCTGCACGGAACTCCTGAGGCTGTTGTGTACCCTTATTGTCACGAACTAACCTGCGTCCTGAGGCTGTTGTGTACCATTATTGTCACGGAACTAACCTGCGTCCTGAGGCTGTTGTGTACCATTATTGTCACGGAACTAACCTGCGTCCTGAGGCTGTTGTGTACCATTATTGTCACGGAACTAACCTGCGTCCTGAGGCTGTTGTGTACCCTTATTGTCACGGAACTAACCTGCGTCCTGAGGCTGTTGTGTACCATTATTGTCACGGAACTAACCTGCGTCCTGAGGCTGTTGTGTACCATTATTGTCACGGAACTAACCTGCGTCCTGAGGCTGTTGTGTACCATTATTGTCACGGAACTAACCTGCGTCCTGAGGCTGTTGTGTACCATTATTGTCACGGAACTAACCTGCGTCCTGAGGCTGTTGTGTACCATTATTGTCACGGAACTAACCTGCGTCCTGAGGCTGTTGTGTACCCTTATTGTCACGGAACTAACCTGCGTCCTGAGGCTGTTGTGTACCATTATTGTCACGGAACTAACCTGCGTCCTGAGGCTGTTGTGTACCATTATTGTCACGGAACTAACCTGCGTCCTGAGGCTGTTGTGTACCATTATTGTCACGGAACTAACCTGCGTCCTGAGGCTGTTGTGTACCATTATTGTCACGGAACTAACCTGCGTCCTGAGGCTGTTGTGTACCATTATTGTCACGGAACTAACCTGCGTCCTGAGGCTGTTGTGTACCATTATTGTCACGGAACTAACCTGCGTCCTGAGGCTGTTGTGTACCATTATTGTCACGGAACTAACCTGCGTCCTGAGGCTGTTGTGTACCCTTATTGTCACGGAACTAACCTGCGTCCTGAGGCTGTTGTGTACCATTATTGTCACGGAACTAACCTGCGTCCTGAGGCTGTTGTGTACCAATAGTCACGGAACTAACCTGTGCCCTGAGGCTGTTGTGTACCATTATTGTCACGGAACTAACCTGCGCCCTGAGGCTGTTGTGTACCCTTATTGTCACGGAACTAACCTGCGTCCTGAGGCTGTTGTGTACCATTATTGTCACGGAACTAACCTGCGTCCTGAGGCTGTTGTGTACCATTATTGTCACGGAACTAACCTGCGTCCTGAGGCTGTTGTGTACCATTATTGTCACGGAACTAACCTGCGTCCTGAGGCTGTTGTGTACCATTATTGTCACGGAACTAACCTGCGTCCTGAGGCTGTTGTGTACCCTTATTGTCACGGAACTAACCTGCGTCCTGAGGCTGTTGTGTACCATTATTGTCACGGAACTAACCTGCGCCCTGAGGCTGTTGTGTACCATTATTGTCACGGAACTAACCTGCGTCCTGAGGCTGTTGTGTACCAATAGTCACGGAACTAACCTGCGCCCTGAGGCTGTTGTGTACCATTATTGTCACGGAACTAACCTGCGCCCTGAGGCTGTTGTGTACCCTTATTGTCACGGAACTAGCCTGCGTCCTGAGGCTGTTGTGTACCAATAGTCACGGAACTAACCTGCGTCCTGAGGCTGTTGTGTACCATTATTGTCACGGAACTAACCTGCGTCCTGAGGCTGTTGTGTACCAATAGTCACGGAACTAACCTGCGTCCTGAGGCTGTTGTGTACCAATAGTCACGGAACTAACCTGCGTCCTGAGGCTGTTGTGTACCCTTATTGTCACGGAACTAACCTGCGTCCTGAGGCTGTTGTGTACCATTATTGTCACGGAACTAACCTGCGTCCTGAGGCTGTTGTGTACCAATAGTCACGGAACTAACCTGCGTCCTGAGGCTGTTGTGTACCATTATTGTCACGGAACTAACCTGCGTCCTGAGGCTGTTGTGTACCCTTATTGTCACGGAACTAACCTGCGTCCTGAGGCTGTTGTGTACCCTTATTGTCACGGAACTAACCTGCGTCCTGAGGCTGTTGTGTACCCTTATTGTCACGGAACTAGCCTGCGTCCTGAGGCTGTTGTGTACCCTTATTGTCACGGAACTAGCCTGCGTCCTGAGGCTGTTGTGTACCAATAGTCACGGAACTAACCTGCGTCCTGAGGCTGTTGTGTACCATTATTGTCACGGAACTAACCTGCGTCCTGAGGCTGTTGTGTACCATTATTGTCACGGAACTAACCTGCGCCCTGAGGCTGTTGTGTACCCTTATTGTCACGGAACTAACCTGCGCCCTGAGGCTGTTGTGTACCCTTATTGTCACGGAACTAACCTGCGTCCTGAGGCTGTTGTGTACCATTATTGTCACGGAACTAACCTGCGTCCTGAGGCTGTTGTGTACCAATAGTCACGGAACTAACCTGCGCCCTGAGGCTGTTGTGTACCCTTAGGATTTCCTTCTTCTCCTGCTGAGGAAGACTCGTCCTGGTGGTGGTACACTGGGAGCTGCCACTCAGTACCATACTGTGGTTGTGGTGGAACTTGGAATAGTCACATTGTGGCTGGGCTGCAGTGGGCACAGCTGTATCCTCTTCTGGATACGCAATATTATAGCTGGCTCTCAGGTAAGATGTATAGTCTTGGTGGGAAGTGTCTTGATCCGGTTCTAATTGTTCCTTTTGCAGGATAGGATTATGTTCTTCATGCATAGATGTGATAGCTTGGTTGAAAGGACTATGTTGTTCTCCATTAAAAGAAATATGTTCTTGGAAAGTAGTATGTTCTTCAAGGTGGGAAGGAGAGTGTTCTTCACTATGGTAAGGAGTATGCTCTTTTGGGTGGACAGGAGTTTGCTGCTGTCCATGGAAAGTGATATTTTCTTTGAGGAAAATTTTTTGTTCTTGTTGTTGGGAAGGAGCATGTTCTTGGTGGGAAGGAGCATGTTCTTCTTGGAAAGGAGCATGTTCTTGGTGGGAAGGAGGGTGTTCTTGGTGGAAAGGAGGGTGTTCTTGGTGGAAAGGAGCATGTTCTTGGTGGGAAGGAGGGTGTTCTTGGTGGAAAGGAGCATGTTCTTGGTGGGAAGGAGGGTGTTCTTGGTGGAAAGGAGCATGTTCTTGGTGGGAAGGAGCATGTTCTTGGTGGGAAGGAGCATGTTCTTGGTGGCCCGGAGCATGTTCTTGGTGGGAAGGAGGGTGTTCTTGGTGGAAAGGAGCATGTTCTTGGTAGGAAGGAGCGTGTTCTTGGTGGAATGGAGCATGTTCTTGGTGGAAAGGAGGGTGTTCTTGGTGGAAAGGAGCATGTTCTTGGTGGGAAGGAGGGTGTTCTTGGTGGAAAGGAGCATGTTCTTGGTGGGAGAGAGCACGTTCTTTCTGGGAAGGAGAGTGTTCTTGGTGGGAAGGAGCGTGATCTTGGGGGGAAGTAGTGTGTTCTTGGTGGAAAGGTACATGTTCTTGCAGGTGGGAAGATGCATGTTCTTGCAGGTGGGAAGGTGTGTGTTCTTGCAGGTGGGAAGAATGTTCTCCAGGGTGTAAAGTGGAATGTTCTCCAGGGTGTAAAGTGGAATGTTCTCCAGGGTGTAAAGTGGAATGTTCTCCAGGGTGTAAAGTGGAATGTTCTCCAGGGTGTAAAGTAGAATGTTCTCCAGGGTGTAAAGTGGAATGTTCTCCAGGGTGTAAAGTAGAATGTTCTCCAGGGTGTAAAGTGGAATGTTCTTCATAATGCATCGTGGACTTAACTTGGTGGACAGGAGAAACTTGTTGGAAAGAGGTTTCTTGATGGAATGTGTCATTGAGTTTTTGGGAAAGAATATGTTCTAATTGGTGGGAAAGAATATGTTCTCTTACGTGAGAGGCATTATGTTCTTGCTGGGGAGGGTTATGTTCTTCATGCTGAGAAGGAATATGTTCTATTATGTGAAAAGGATCATGTCCTTCATGCTGGGAAGGATTATGTTCTTTCATGTGAGAAGGATTATGTTCTTTCATGTGAGGAGGATTATGTTCTTTCATGTGAGAAGGATTATGTTCCATCATGTGAGAAGGATCATGTTCTTTCATATGAGGAGGATTATGTTCTTTCATGTGAGGATTATGTTCCTCTCGGGGAGAAGGTGTATGTTCTACAAGATGAGAAGGATCATGTTCTGTCACGTGAGAAGGAAAGTGTTCTCGGTGGGAGGGAGAATTTTCTTCTCGGTTGAAAGAACTATGTTCTCCATAGAGGAAAGGAGTAAGTTCTTCTCTTTTGGAAGAATTATACTCTCCTTGGGTAAAAGAAGTATGTTCTTCGTGGTATGGAGAACTTTGATCTCGGTGCGACTGATAAAGTTCTCTTTGAGAAGGAGTGTGTTCTTTACGGTGGGAAGGCGTATGAACTTCTCGATGGTATGCAGAATGTTCTCCGTGGTAGAAAGGGGTAGTGGCATGTTCTTCATAGTAAGACGTGACATGTTCTTTCTGGTATAAGTTTGCATTTTCTTGATAGGAATGAATGTGTTCTGGGTGAACACTGACATTACCAAGAGGGAGAGGAATGCCTTCCTCTGACTCGGAAGGGACATGTTCTCCTTGGTTGAAAGGGAGTTGTTCTTTTTGATAGAAGAGAGGCTTTTCTAGCATGGTAAAGGGCTGTTCTGAATGCGTATGAATATTATCCCCTTGTAAATTGACCCCAGTTTGTTGGACTGGACTATATTTGTATATTTCTAAAGTGGAATGTTCTGTTGGATAAACCAGGGTTGGTTTTGGTTGGAAAGTTTCATTAACTACTGTGAAAGTTGTGTTGTGTGCGTGGAGGAAAAGGTGTTGCTCCTGTGTTTGGTGTTCAGGCCCAAGTTCTCCTTGAGGAAAGGGAGGATGTTTCTGACTGTGAAAAGCATCATGATCTCTGTGGGAAGGTGCGTGTTTCCCTTGATGGGAAGAGGTATATTCGTCTCCGTGGCTTGGGGTATATTCTTCACCGTGGCTTGGGGTATATTCGTGCCTCTGGAAAGTGTCATTAGGTTGGTGGAAGAGAGTATGGTTTTCTTGTTGGTATAATGTATTCTTTAGTAGGTGGAAAGAAGTATTTTCCTTCTCCTGCAGAGGTGTCTGTTCTTGTTTATGAAAAGAGGAATTTAGCTGATGGAATAGAGGTTGTTCTTTTTGACTGACAGAGTTCTGTTCTTCTTGGTGGGAGAAATAATTATGGGCCTGTGGGTGGTAAGTGGAATTTGCTTGCTGGAAACTGGTGCGTTCTTCGTCGTTGAAAGATGTGTCTGCTCGGTTGGGAGAGGAATTTGTTTCATCGTGAGAGAAAGATTTTCCTCTGCGGAAAGTGCTATGTTCTGTAGGACGGCAAAGTAGTGTATTGGGCCTGTTGTAAGTGATTGATTCCGTTGGTTGGAAAGTAAGTGATTCGTTTGGCCGGGAAGTGAATTGTTCAAATGGATCGAAAACAGGTGATTCTTTTATAATGGAGGTGATTGGTTCTGTTGTTTGGGAATGGGGAAAATGTTCGTCATTTGTAATGTAACAGATTAATTCCGTAGTGCCGGGAGATATCTTTTGCATCAACTTGTCTGGAATGTGAAAGACTAATGTATTTGTCTGGAGAGGCATCTGCTCTTTAACGTCATCATTTGTATACTCTGAGATGAATGGCTCTGAGAGCTTGGGGAGACCTGGAGTTTCTCTTCGAATGTTTGAAGAAGAGTCCCAGTGGGACCCGGAGAACCCGATGCTAGACGAGTTGACTGCATCATCTCTCTTTCTGTCCCAGTCTCCTTCCACCACCAAACCTGATAAAAGAGCATAGAGTTATATTTTGTTAGTTGGTTATATATATATATATATATATATATATATATATATATATATATATATATATATATATATATATATATATATATATATATATATATATATATATATATATATATATATATATATTCTCATATATATATATCTACCTATATATATATATTTTTTTGGCTACCTATTGTGACGGTGTTCCCCCCATACTTATATTTCTCCCACGCCTGCAGTAAGAGTCATGTCCACTTTACCCGAGCGTTCTCTACGTCGCAGGCATCAATTTGGTATATGTGGGGGAATGTAGTGTTCTCGGAGTGCCGAGAAATTTATCAAAGAAGAGTATTTTGGCCTGTGGTTTAGGCCCTTTAGGAAGCCAATATGGCGCTGGCTCTTCTGTTTTGCCGCCAAAACTATGTGACGTCAGTGACACCGGATTGGTCACCTACAGCGATGTGGCACAGGGAGCCAATGAAAACCTCCTGTGGCGAATGTGACGTCACGAAGGAAGGGGGGTCCGGTCAGAGCGCCACGGCGGCGCCATCAGTCTGACACGACACGTCAAGGTGGTTGGACGTGCGAAGATTGGTCCTGTCAGTTTGACAGTTGTTTCCCGTTCCCGTTGATTTTACGCGTCACCCGAAGTCTGCCAGTACTCTGTGAGGTCTTCCTTCGTTCCTGTGTTGGACCAGAGAGGGAATCGACGGGATATTGAGCAACAAGCGTTCCGGGACAGGTACTGTGCAAGAAGAAGTGAAGCCTGTGCAGTGACGTATACGACGTCTGAGGCCGTTCACCCGTTTGTGACGGCGTAGTGGCTGGACCGAGCCACCGGGAAGCAGTGGAAGAGGAAAACTGTTCGGGAATCCGAACGACTGCAGCCGAGACGTAGGCGGGCAGCCGTAGCTGGGAGGAGAAGTCAACGGCCGGGAGACCGACTCCAACCCCACAAGAAGTCGAGGAGGAGCACGGACCTGCAGTGAAAAGGCACGGAGACGACGCGCTTACGGTGGGACGTTGATTGAGTTCCTGGAGGACACGACAGTGTGTGTGTGGGGGCGTTCCCTACACGAGGCCGGAGCCAGGACCAGGAGCTACAACTCAACTCTCACCGGAGGATAGGTGGAAGTAGGTGATACTAGTTTCCCTCCCAATTCCCCTTTAGTCAGCTATATTATTTAGCCAGAGTATTTTGTATGTCGTGAGCAAGGCTCACCTATGTCACAGTAAGGCACCAGTGTGAAGAGTGGGACTATAAAGAGTACTCACGATGTTTATGATTATTATTGGTGTGTACAGGCACCCGGAGTAATTGATGAATTTACCGTGTTGATAACGTCTTTCATGAGACTTTAATAAGATCATTTAGTGAGAGAATATATATATAAATATGCCAGTGTTTGGAGTTAGGCTATGTGCCCAGTAACTATGTTATTACCATTATTGATGTCTGACTCATCCATATATATATATATATATATATATGTCTATGCTCGTGTATTGAATAATCATTCATGTGTGCAGTGATTAATTGTGTTATCGCCCACAAAAGGAATTACTGAGAACTCCAGTAATATATACTTGCATACATTATCATTAAATGAAGGGCAGTGTGTAATACCATGACAGTGAATTATTGTCACCTTTAATATAGAAATGTTTGATTGAGCTCAAGATCAGTGTAGCGAAGTGTTTACGTGCTATTGTCGCGAATATTGTGTGTTCGATCTTGTAGTGATCTTTGAGAACTTAAAGAAACTGGCGCGTCACGCCACAAGCAAACAGATAAAGTGACATTCGCGCGGGGGTAGTCGCCCGGCTGATTTTGACATTGACGTGAGGGGGAGCATTGCCAGCTTGGCGAGTTCATATTATATGTGGGAACGAGCGGCTCCCGCCTGAAACAGCTGTTTGCTTATTGATATAATCTTGTGATGTCTTTGAATGAGTTTTAAGTAAAATACAAAGTACATTGGTGTTTATATCATCCCCTCCATATTTCTTGTGGCTATATAATACCTGAAAGCAGAGAGCGATAGAAGTAAATACCTGCCTGATATCAGACATATTGAGTGTGTTCTTGCCACTGTTACCACAATTCAACAAAACCACTGACGTGTTACTGGACACCGAAAACACCAGTTGGCGACCTTGTGGTTAGTAGTAGAGCCCTATGTTGGGGCGGGCATACAACAGTTAAGTGAACAAGTTGTGTTCCCACTCCTTCTCGATCAGAGGCCGGTTGGGATTGACTGGGATACTCTCCTGGCGTACAGTGGCGCCGCGAGGATAGAGTGAAGACCCGCAGGGCTACGGTGAGTGACCTTGAGTATACTCTTACTCGCCCCTTTCCCCTCTCATTGGAGGTGAACCCCTTGACATTGGCGACCTTGCCAGGATTAAGCACTTATATTGTCGCTCACCGAGTAACCCTGACAATATATAAATATATATATATATTCGGTCATATATATATATATATTGATCATATATGTATATATATATATATATATATATTAGGCAAATCGGGCCTTGAATATATATATATATATATATATATATATATATATATATATATATATATATATATATATATATATATATATATATATATATATATATATATATATGCGAACAAGCCTGAATGGTCCCCAGGACTATATGCGTCTGAAAACTCACACCCCAGAAGTGACTCGAACCCATACTCCCAGGAGCAAGGCAACTGGTAACTACGGGGCGCCTTAATCCGCTTGACCATCACGGCCGGACAAAAGGAAGTGATAGCCGAAGCTATTTGAACCACTTCCCCGCCGGCAACTCGGATGGTAATCTTGGGCATAGCATTTTATCAAATCACCTCATTCTTTGGGGCACACGTGAGGAACACAAATGCGAACAAGCCTGAATGGTCCCCAGGACTATATGCGTCTGAAAACTCACACCCCAGAAGTGACTCGAACCCATACTCCCAGGAGCATACTCCCAAAAGAATGAGGTGATTTGATAAAATGCTATGCCCAAGATTACCATCCGAGTTGCCGGCGGGGAAGTGGTTCAAATAGCTTCGGCTATCACTTCCTTTTGTCCGGCCGTGATGGTCAAGCGGATTAAGGCGCCCCGTAGTTACCAGTTGCGTTGCTCCTGGGGTGTGAGTTTTCAGACATATATATATATATATATATATATATATATATATATATATATATATATATATATATATATATATTGTATGTGTATATATATATGTATGTACCTTTGCCTAAATAAAAAATATTATTATTATTATATATATATATATATTTTAAGATAAATAGGAAAACCAGGGATATACTGAACATCTTGTTTCAGAATCTTTACTTTAAAATGCATAACGTTTCGAATACTTCTCGTATTCATCATCAGATCTAAAAGAAAAAACTGAAATCACAATCAAATAGCTGGTAAACAAAGAACTCATACTGAATATAATTGCCTATCAAAGAAAGGAAAATGCTTGAAAAACAAAACACTTAAGCACACTTAAAGTGATCAATACAAATAAAACTTATTAACTGTCACATATGTTAAAACTAATTTAAAATCCATTAAACTACAAGATGAAATTTATAACTACTAAAACAAACCATTCTATTAAACTTACGTGAAGTGATCAGAAGTGAAACTTGATACCTAACACATAGATACTAAACACTATAAAAAATATTTATATAATGACCACAAATCTACAAAAAATGTATGTAAAATACAAACAGAATAAACGACAATTATAAAGTACAAACCAAAATCATATAAAAAACTCAAATATTAAAAAAAATTAAATACCAAAAAATGTATTATATATCCTAAATAAAAGATTATATTAATGTACAATGTTAAGACTTGAAATAAGTAAGAAAGGGCAAAGACATGGTAAACTAAACAAAATTAAATTACCAAAACAAACTAAAAATCAAATTACAGGGCCTACTGTGCACTATACAGTGTACAATTGAACAGCTGAAAGGTTGCTATTTAACAGAGGCCGCAGCTCCTTTATATATAAGGATTCCATTACTCTCAAATCTGACTGGCCATTCATACAAGTGTCCAGAATTTTAAAATCAGATTCCAGCAGAGAATGATCAAACTCATAACAATGGTTTCTAATCTCCGAAAATGCTGGTTTAGACAATGGTAATCCAGTCCTAAAAGATAATCCCCGGTGCTCAAGTATCCTAATCTTAAAGTTCCGAATGGAACTCCCGATATATCCAGCATTACAGCTGGAACAATTATACATATATACGACATTTGAGCACAAGGGGGTAGGCACTTTATCTTTAAATTTAAAATAAGAGCCTATGGTATTTGTGTTGACAAAAATAAATCTAAAGTCTACTTGAGGATAACACTGCTGCAACAGTCTCCTCAAACGACTCCTTACAGAAAAGCTAATAGTGCCATAAAATGGTAATTTAATATATTTAAGATCCCTTTCCACTGTAGTAATCCTACACGATGGGTGAAACTTCTTATTTAAGAAATTCCTTATAAAGGTATAAACCATATGCACAGGATAACCATTATTTGAAAAAAATTTCACAAGAAAATTAATTTCCTGATCAAAGTTATTCCAATTAGAACATAAAACAAAGGCCCTATTCAGTAGAGTGTTAATAGCATTTTTCTTAAAAATATCAGGAACAAAGGAATTAAAATTTAAACCTAAACCAGTAAAGGTTGGTTTCCTAAAAACATTAGTGTTGAACCCATTGAGGTTATTCACTTTTACATCAAGAAACGACAATGAATTATTAACTTCACACTCTGCAGTAAACCGTATATTACTATGTTGTGCATTAAGATACTCTCTAAATTTCTCAATATGACATTGGTCCTTAAACAACAAAAAAGTGTCATCTACATATCTCCTGTACAAGACTGGTTTAAAGGCCGAAGGACAATTATCAAGCCAATTAATTTCGTGAAAACTCAAAAAAGCATTAGC